TATTTTACACACATATTGTAAGAATGTTATATATTTTGTTTTTTGTCTGATGAAGTTGTTTTTCAAACAACGAAACATCGCATCACTACTTTGTAAATAATTATGAATAAATTATTTTACATATAAAGGAAGAGAATAAAAATATGTCAATTAGTTCTCTTCATATTGTTTGAACGCACTTTATATCTAAGCAAGAGAGTCAAGCTGTTGCACGTCGTGTCACAAGCTGTATCATTGTTTCTACACACCCACTGTAAAATGTCTCCAGTTTTTCTTTACATACATGTGTTCACAGTTTGATGTAAACCTCTTTTTTTCCATTCGATTATATTGACACAATCTGTTTTTTCTTTCCGTTCTTTTCAACGCGTATCAGTATGTGTATATCAGACTTCATTCTGTCAAATATTCTTATTCGTGTACACATGAGATGATTTGTTTTTTGAGTTTATTCTCACTACTGATGGTAATCCATGGCATGTCAGTTCCAACGATATTAGATACTGATATTGGTACAGCTTATGATGATCATCTAGCGTTAATATATATTCTGTCACTACCAAATCGATTTGATTTAAAACTAATTGTTTGTTCAACAACGAATACAACAGCGCGTGCACAAATTGTAGCGAAAACATTGAGATTTTTTAAACGTTTCGATATTCCAATAGGACTTGGTCGAGCTTCTCAAGACACATATGGCATATTTCAATATCGATGGGCACAAGATTATTCACTAGAACAGTTTCAGAATGATGGCGGAATCGTTTTTCGCGATGGTGAACAAGCATTGGCTGATGAAATGAGAAAAGCATCGATGATGAATCGTCCGTATCATTATATTCACATAGGTCCGGCAACATCGTTAGGCAATGTACTTGAAAAATACCCACTATTGTCGACGAATATTCGATTATTTGCTATGGCTGGTAGTTTATACTATGGATATGAAAATTCGACTACACCATCTAAAGAATATAATATTGAATATGATATTCGATCAGCGCAAACTATGTTCGCATCGAATTGGGCCTATTTCAGTTTAGTACCATTGGATTGCACGAACTTTATGCAATTTAATGGTCTTCTCTGGAAAAAATTTTTATCCTATCGAAATAGATCACGTACAGTCAATATGATCATTGAGAGTTACACAATATGGTACAATGATGGTGGAAATAGTATGAGTGCCATTCAATCCTTTAATCCTGAATTGGGTACACCTGAAATGCACGATGTTTTGGCTGTCTATTTAGCTGGTAGTTACACATCTGTCGCTCCGACTATATCATTTTTTCTACCAATATTCGTGACGAACGATGGTTTTACACGCGAAAATCAAACAATCGAGAAGACCATCAGTACTTGCTTGAAATACGAAACATCGGATCCATATGAAGCAACAGCTCAGATTGGTCTGGAAGTGTTCGAATCGATCATACAAAACGATGTAGACATGAAAGACGAGGGGCATCATTTCTCTACATGTCGGTTGCCATGGATTATTTTATCAATTTCTATATCGTTGTATATCTGATATTATCAATAAAAGTGTGAGTGTAATGAGAGTGACGATGTCAGAGTGAGATGAAAATGAAGCGAGCATATACCTTCATTCTACGCTCTTACTATACCTTCACAAACACAATTCTCAAGTAAGCTATATACGTCAGATGAATGTTAAGGATTGAGATAAACGCGACTCGAGTGCACAAAGTCGTATAATGTTTTCCATAGCTTTAAAAAAACGATCCATTTCGTTTGACGACAATTGTGTCTATTAATTCGATTGTTTATTTGAAAAGTTACTTCATCTGTTCATAGACTTTAGTCTAACACCATTAGACTTATTTGCAAGTAATCTTAAAGGTACTATTGAGGTTAGAGGCATCAATCTGATAATCCACTTTTTATACTTTTACTAATACTGTTATGTATGGTTTCAATTTGAAATTTTTATAGGACATTTCAAGTTTGTGTAAGATCTGAAAGTTGAAGTGATGCACATCATTGAAGTTTTCATGAATTTGAAAGAAAACTCTTAGCGACATTTCAACCACTCTAGACTGATTTTTGCTTTGAAAAATTTACTATTTCGTAGTGCATCATTCACATGATATGTTTGACCAAACTTCTTAGCAAGTTTAAAAATGACTTGCCTATTAAGTCTTGTTGTATCCTGAAATTCATTTGGGAAAGTTGTATGCAGTATTTGAAATATTTTTGTCATATATATTCATAATTGTTTTAGAACGAAAGCTCTTCGTTCTTTAGTAAAAAGTGTCTCCATCGTATCTCGAAATAAAAAGTAAAAAAAAACAAAAGAAAGATGTCAAATACTATTAACACAATACATATTTGCCGTATTGAGTCTATTGGTAAACTTTCAACTGATCTCTTATTTTACTAACGTCTATTATCTATGCACTCGGTCAAAAATAGAAGAAAACACAAGAAGGAAAATGAATAACAGAAACAGATCATCGTACCAGCATGACATTAGAAGAAAGAGAGAACATTAAAAAAGATAAAAGTGAGAGGATGTACTAATATACATTGAAACAAGTAGAGAACAAATATTTGACTAACACTAAAGAGGTATGGAGTAATTTCCTCTTATTTGGAACAATACTATGAGTTCATGCTGCTGATGAATATATTCAATGCTATCCTTCTCGTTTATCAGCGTCCTTTTTCAAAATTTGGTGTTATTTGAGTATTTGTAACACCAATAACATTTATTGATATCCGATATATAACACATGTATCATGATATCAACGAAACGTCTGTAACAAGACGATGAGCGAAACAATACAGTAAAGCGTCCGATAAGCAGTTGTCGCTTCTATTTTAATTCTTCTTGACATAAACTCCATATTATAAGGCTCTTTTTTGTTTTTAGCTGAGTAAAATACGCGCGACATGTATCTATCCGATTCTGTCAGACATTATCTTTTGTAGAGAAGAGACGAACTTTTCCATTAGAATTATCACTTTGCAAACGGAACAGGAAGCATTCTCAGTGGAGTCGTTTTTTCTCAAACTGATTCGAACACAAAAGTTTTTAACAAGAATATTCTGGATGATCTCCTGAATGTTTGATGACAAGTAGTATTCGAAAAGTGAAGAATATTAATGAATTATTGACATTGGTTTAGACGCATTCTTTATCATGTTATGTGTTGTGTGTCGAAGTCCTACTTATCCAATACAGATGCAGTTGATACAGAGAAGATAAGAGTAGATGATAGAGATGACAAATATGCCTATGAATACACTTACACACTAGCGGAAAAGCTACCATTTGTTATGCTATCTATTTACCGCGAATGGGTATGTGCATTGAACGAAAATCATCAGTATTGAAAAAGGAATTTTTTCCAATAAGTTTGTTCAACTTGTGTTCTGTCGAATATGCATCATTTAATATCATAGAACTCTTTCTTGTCTGTTCTTTATTTGCCTTGAATAGGTTTTCTATATTCAACAATAATCTTTCTATCTAATAGATCAACTTTCTATTATAACATATTAGAAAATGTCAAATAAAATACTCAATGGACCTAGTAGAATTTTAGTTTTAAGTAAGCCACACCTGTATATATATAGAATGGAAGTGTACATTTAAATCGATAGTTTGACACTAAATTGATTGGATCACTATTAAATTCAACAGCATTAGAGCCAGTCACGAATCATATCTCTTAGTATCACAGTTGATTTCATGATTATCGTGTGTTGAGTGTGTAGAAGAATAAGTATCAATTTGGCAGCAATATAATATTAGCTCGATAACATATTGTTCAGACTTCAATAGTTTGTATATCTCACTGCTCAAAAAGTGTTATCTTGCTTACTTAAGTATCACAAACTGATCTCACAAAAGTCCTCTAAAAGTATGCTTCTGAAGACAAATTTGTCTTACAAGAAATCTACGATCCAAAAATGAAGTTGATGATTTTTGTAGTATAAATCATATGATAATCCTTCCTAAAAAGTTAAGAAATCACATATATTATTATAGAGCAAACATTTATCAGAAAAATGACAACCTAAGTAAAACCTAATACTGTGTTCGAAATCTGCATCAAATATCATGTTGACTTACTTCGCACATTCAATACACAATAATTGCAATAATTACTATCAGAATTAACACTTCATTAGTGATCCTAGCTCTGTTGAATACAACCGTGCTCTAATAAATTTTGTATCAAACTATCTGATTAAATAGTATACTTCCATTCTCGATATATCTGAACTTGATTAAGAACAAGAAATTCTAGCGGATCGAATTGATATCTTACACATCTCTAGCGTTGATGGTGACCATCGATATTTTAGATAGAACAATGACAACATGGCTTGTTTCTCCATCATCACCAACTGGTAATAATCGTCGTATTGAATTTGCTGGAATTGATTTATGGACTATTGCACGTGTCGACAAAGTTTTGTCTATTCTGCGGAGATTAATGTCGATCGATTAAAGGAGTCACTTGGTTATGCTCTTTCAATGTGACCTATCGTGGCTGGTCATCTTCTAATACTCGAAAATGACCACTATATTATAGAAATGTCTAACAATCCTATTCCAGTGTCGTTTGTCGAAAATACGGTTCTGACTAAATGGCCTCTTAGCTCAAATGTCGTAGCTCACTTAATTGAAAGTCCATTTTCACCATTCATCGACGAAATACCAGTTGAAAAACTTTCAGATAGCTCTATGAATGAGCCACTCTTTCGTATGAAACTTACTCATATAGTACAAAGTGGTGAATAGGTACTCGGTGCAAGTGGCTCACATATGATAGGTGATCGAGCTTCTTTTTTGAAGTTTTTGAATACTATCTCACGTATCTATCAACAAATGGAATCAGCTGAACCATTTCCTGTATTCGAACGACGTCTATGAAGAAACGATGAAGCTGATCAATCTCTATTACCTATGCTGAAATACTTGAGTGATTGTCGATCCATCGAAGAAATCCTTAAAAAGATGATGGATGATCAAAAAATATATGAGCAAGTTAACATATATTTCTCAGGTAAACAACTCCGTAAATTACGTTTACTAGCCGGTGGTAATACTATAACCATTCAAGATGCACTGACTGCTTACATTATTTTAAAACTCAATACTCATTGTTATCTGAATGATGATTCACGCCATATTCTACATACAAATACATTCGTCAATATTCGAGATGTCTCAGATTCAATTGCTCCGGTTGGTCTTGTTGCCAGCGGTATCTTCATTATGTTGTCAGATGACTTCGATGATTCATTGTCATTCTCGAATATTACAAAGACTATTCGTCGATCTATTGTTCGATCACGTAATTCAAAATTTCTCAAGTCATGTCTGGCAACTGCCGATGAATTAATGAGACGTATGGTACGCGATAAACAATTAGCCAATATGGTTTTTTTTTCTAATGATATCTTTGTCAATTCGAATTGTACATACGATTGGGCAAATCTTGTCGATTTTGTTTATACCGATAAATGTCGTTTTTATACGGGATGTACAGGTAGATTGTATCTACGTGTATTTCGTCTCAATCCAGTTCATGACGGTACTCAATAGACAACAAGAGATCGAGATGGAGCTGAAATCGCATTTCCTATTGAAAATGACATGAAGGAAAAATTTATCAAGGTATGGCAGCGAGATGTCAAGGAAAACTTTGATAATGTGCACTAATGAAAACATCTTTTATGTTATCTTAATACAACATTGAATTCATTCACAGTAATAAAAATCGATAATAAAACTGGTCATACTTTAAGTCATTGATGAAATGAGAATGCTTTTGATTCTTTTTGTACAAGAGGAAATTCATCAACCTCCTGTTTTAAGAAACCCTACTAAATTGATATTAAAATAGGTAATGCTTCACAATCAGTGACGCAGCAGTTAAACCAAAAACATGAATTCGGACAGTTGAGTTACAATAGAGAACATCGTGTAATTCAGTTTACTCGCACAAGTGATTACGAAGATAAAACTTGGAGCAAAGTTCTTAGTCTTTCAAAAGGATTGTCTCTTGTTTTTCTATCAAAAGTATAAATCAAGTGTCCTACTTATTCATTCATGTATTCTTAAGTCGCAAATATTTTGACCTTCGTTGTATATAAAGATCAAGCAAGTTGAATTCTTCAACCTTGACTATGGTTGATAGATTGCAAGTTAGAATAAAGAAATTAACATTACTTAATGTTTATAAACACATGAATAAATAATTATGACAGTTGACCTCTACTACTCATAGAAAAACCATAGGCAATTCGTTCAAAAAACTAAGAACTTTGCTCAACGTTTAATCTTAATAACAATTTGTGTAAGTAAACAAATTTTCATAGTGTTCTCTATTTTAGAGTCAATTGTCGCTATCCCTTCATCATCATGTGTGCTGATTGATCTACTGAAAAATCTAAACGCCATTATAATAAAAATTAATAATTTTAAATACTGTTTTCTTATATCTTGATGATTTGTACCTATATATATTTGATGCAAAAAGAGAGACTTATAGCGATCAGTGTTTGTTTTATTTAAGGAAACTTATTAAAATGACTATATAGATCACTTCAGCATGATACTTGTGCATGATTACTATTTTCAAACTAAGATAATGAAGACGATATAAGAAGGCAATGTTATGTTGTCGATTTCGTCTTCTTCATATTATCATTTTGACTGTCAAAAACCTGTTGTCATTAAAATTAAACAATTTAATGCACCCCAAGGTCTTCTCGAATAGTTTTAGTCATTCCTGTTTCGATTGTCTTATACATTCTAAAAACAGTTAGGATCAAGGGGGAAACAGCAGAATCCATGAATCCACTTGAATCCGCTTGAATCCACTTGAATCCACCTGAATCCAAGGGACTGGATTCTGCTGTTTCCCCCTTGGTTAGGATACTGAATGATTTTATCATGAATATTCTCATTCATATATTCAAACATTTAGTAGACTCTAATACAAAAAAGTTTTTTTAACCTTTTGAATTCCTAATTATTTCTGCTAGATTAAATTGAAGTAGACTGTTAGATGAAGTCATTTTAGAGAGTATGGGTATGAGTTTTCGCCTAACTGGCAATGATGTTTCACATTGACATTTATAGTCTTAGTTTTCTGACTTCTGATTTCTGTTGATATCAAAATGTATTTTTTCTGATTTACTGTTGGTATCGTTTTTGTTCTCTTGTTTTTTTAACGGAATGAGAAAATATAAGTCACGTATTCTGTATAATAATAATGAGTGATCGATATAAAACGGACTTTCTATCATATTGATTGTAGAATGAAATGACACACTATCATCGAAAAACAGCAAGGATATTAGAAAAAAAAACTTTTCTAATACACCATCACATTACATGTGATTGAGATCGTCAACACATTCAAGTCTTGCTTCAACATATGTCCATATCACATGACTTTCTTGTCCAAAATACGCATATCCTTCATGCACATAAAAACAAAAAAGAAATTTTTATTCGAGCAGTTAATTGTATTATCAAGATTGTTTTTTTTTTTATATAGAAATTTTTATGAACAAAAGGTGTTATTATAGGTAAGTATAGTTAGTATAACACCACTAATCAATCTCAGTATATGAATACGAATAAAACCATTAAGAATGAGTCTTAAGTTTATATTTTCCCTTATGTTAGATACCATGTTTTTGTTTCTTTTTATTATAAAATATTCTTAGCAGACTACAGATATTCATAGATTTGGAGAACGTCGGCGGAAATTTCATCTCAAATAAAACAGTGATCTTTTAGAGTACAATTTGTGATAAAATATCTTTAAATTAGAAGACTACGCTCTAATGAATAATCTCTTCCAAAAGCTTTGTACGATCAAATAGAATAGAAAACAAAAAAGTTCTAATATGTAGGTATTCTGCAATAATTATTTTTTTTTTGTTCGTGTTGTACTTTGCAAAAGGGTCCATTATACCTCTTTCTTTTTATATATAATCAAAAAAATAATTACATACTCGTACTAGTAAATCTTCTTTGCAATAATCATTATGAGAAACACGCGTAGAGACAAAATAAAAAGAAGTTACCTTTAACTCAATCTTAAATCATCATAGATCTCTGTATGATATATCACGCTAGTGAGACAATTGTTATTTTTTTATATTATTTCCTAAAAAATTTCATTTTGCATCTATAATACAGACAATGAATTCCACTACAATTACTTTAACAGTTTATCTTGCTAACATTCAAATTCAAATTATTCGCTATTTACTCACTATAACATTGATTATTGGAAATTTAAGCAATTTTACTAATATTTTAATTTTTTCTCAGCACTCTCTCAGATCTCATATCTGTTCATGGTACTTTATTGGTTCATCGATTGGTCATCTACTCTATCTCAATATGGGATGTTTAACCCGAGTTATTTGGGCATGGACACAGTATGATCTGAGTTTCATCTCACTTGCATTTTGTAAAACTCGAATTTTTTTTGTATTGAATGGTCTTACTATTTCTCGTTATTTATTCTGTTTAATATCTATTGATCGTTGGATGATTACTTCGAGAAATACTAGGATCCGTCATCTAAGTTCACTTAAAGTAGTTCGACGATTAATTATGGCTGGCACTTTTTCTTTAATTATTATTAATATATTTATATCTATTGGATATGTCATTCAGAAGAATATAAGCTGTGGTCCATCAACAGAGCCAGTATATTTTTTATTCTACACAATTTACAATATCACTTTGTCTCTTGCCCCTCTATTAACATTAATTATATTTAGTGTTCTTGTTCTTTTCAACATTCGACATACTGGTCATCATCAAATAGCTCCAACAACACTAATAGATTTAAACCATGAAATACGATATCGAAGACGACGACTTCGTAAGAAAGATATTCAATACATCAAGCTATCTCTTATACAAGTAGCTGCTTATATTGTTTTCAATACACTTCATGGTTACAATACAATTCATGAAGTTATTACACAGAATCAAATTAAAACTCCTGAGCAACGAGCTATTGAAGGATTTTTGAGTGGAACTGGTTTGAATCTTCATTATGTCTATACTGGAGTAAATTTTCCTGTCTTTTTTAATGACTTTTAAAAACGAGATAGAATAATATATATTTGATTTTATTTTCTATTTAGATTACTTTCTTTCTTTATACATTGGCATCTGAAACATTTCGACAAGCTTGTATTTTGTTTTGGAAACGTTTGTTAAAACATCTGTTACATTTAATGTTTTTTCGATCTAATCATCAAACGACTGTTCAAATTGCTTAATTTTTTTGTAAAATATCACAATAATCAACAAATTTTGTCCGTAATATGATTCTTGATACCTTTTTTTTTCCTCGAATTCGAAGACGATTTGAACACGTAGATGAATGTTGTACATTTTTTTGTCAGTGTTGTTATTCGATGTGTCTCATTACAACTATGTATGTATTATTAATACTGTAAAGAGTGATGTGATTAATGCATTTTAAATATTTATAAAATAAAAAGTTCTTGTGAATAAGTATTGTGATCTAAGAGGATATGATATGAGAATATCCCAGTTCTTTGAGCATGATGCCAATGATAACGTTTTTTTTTCTTATTTAGAATATAGTTTCTGTAGGTTTTTTAAATCAATCATGATCAATTTTGTTTGCTCTATACAAAGCTGTAGTCGAAATTCACGAAGTATAAAGCAAAAGTTTTGAAATTATTAGAAACTTCATTTTTTTAGTTTTCTTTAACAAAATTCAACTGATTTTGAGATCTATATGTTTTACTAAACAAATTTCAGAATAATTTAGATGAAAACATTCAAAATTAATCACTACTAGCATGAAGAACCGCAAGAAGTTCAATAATTCTCAATACCGAACATGTACTTTTGTAAGTGGAAATTAACTGATTCCTTGAACTTCTAATCGAAGTTTAGAATATTTCTACTACTGAGAATTATCAAACTCTTATCAATTCTTTATGCTAGTTCTAATCATTCTTAATAAGAAAACAAAATTATCATCTTTGACATCAGGTTCTAGTAATTGGTGTATCCCTAATACCATAATTATTTTATTATCAATGATAACAGGTGATCGAAAAATTTTTAGACAAAGTAATTGTTCACTTTTGATCCGTTAGAAGAGTATTTCGTTCGAGTCAAAAGCTATGAGTTAGGATGATCTTTTCGTATATGGACTTGCAAATTTGATCCGAGAGTAGTAAAATAATCATTGAAAACTATAAAGACATTAGTTTGAATAGAAATCTTTTTTATTTTCACTATTGTGATTCTAAACATAAAAGTTGAGCTTTTCATTTATATATCAGCTTGTAGATTAGAAGCTAGTTTTCTTTTTTGTCTTTCGATAAGGGACATCAATTTTCACTTTTCCTAAATACCGATTGTTAAAAAAATGCTTGTAGTCTAACTTACTTAAAAGTTACAGCTTAGTTCAATATCAAATTTCGTAGAGAAGTGTCCAATTTACATAATGGTCGATTCGGATAAGTTTTAGCAAATCTGAAAAGGTACTTATAGGGTAAACAAAGACTTGTTGACTCATCTCAAAATATAATTTCTCAAGTTTTTTGAAAAGTTTGTCACAATTCTTCAACAAAAATAAAGACAATATCACTATGGCCATATTCAAACTACCGTTATAACCTATAGTTTTTGACTCATCTGACATACTTTCTTATCAAGTCAAAAGTGAACAAACATTTTGTCTATAAACTTTCGGACTATTGGTTAGAATAAGGTTTTGTTCTTAGCGAAACAAAAAATGATTTTCATAGAGTAAATGAATAACAATAAGAGTTTACATTTGCTTACTTTCTACAATAATATAAAATAAGTTTTCTCAATTATTCCATTGTTTATCAACTATTATGTATGCCCATCAATAGAAACAATAAATATCAATTTCAACAAGGCATTAACATGTCTCTTGGACTTTGATTTTTTTTGAAGTAAAAAAAAAGTACAAAATAAAATTAATGTTTTGTATTTGATTTGTTCATCGTGTCATAAATAAAATTTATTCATTTCACTTGATACATTGTTCGTTTAGTTGATCAATTAAAATAATTTTAATGCATTTCAAAACACAAATATTCATTTCACATGTTTCTATTACATAAAAAAAAAACTTGTTTCATTTTATTTATTCTTTTCACTGATTATGTTCACATATGTTTACTCTCTAAATAATCGCATTTTCAGTTAAGTGTGTCTATGTTCATTTGTCAACGAACACCGGTAGTCACACGTCTATGTCAATGTACATTTATTCCTCATGATGGATAGACAGACGACCTGACTGTCATCATCGTTGTGGATCAATAGTGTCATAAGACGATCAACACGATTGAGCAAAAGACATTGAAACAAAAAAATATCTCTTTTTTTTTTTCGTCTAATGTATTTTCACACATTAAACAGAGAAAGATAGTAGACGTGTTGTTGATTCAGTAAAATGACACAAAAAATATTCCCAGTTCTCTGATCAAACGTGTATGTTCATGTTTGATCTAAGCGGTACCATCATTTTTTTCTATTTCCTTCTCAAAATAGAATATCAATGTAAAAATCTTAATATATTAAAAAAAAACTCTTTATGACTTATTTGGTGAATACATTGATACCAACAATGAACTCAAGTGTGACATTGTTTATTAAACTTGATTAAATCAACTAAATTTTTGTCTCTTGTACATTCTCACATCGTCATATCATAAACAAGATTAGCTCTTACTTTTTCGATTGATTTATTTTCTGATGAATTTCATAGAAGGGCGTTTTAAATAAGCAGATGATAGTATATTCCATATCATTGCATTCGTTTATACTAAAGTTTAAAACGAAATTATAAAAAAAAAAGAGGAGGAGTTTTGTGCTGGCTTGCTTTCTTTCACTTTCAGTTGACTGCGCTAAACAAATCATGGAATATGATAGACAGTATGACTAGAGCAAAATCATCTTTTATTAATCATTAGATGATGATAACAAAATCCGATTTATTCCACCGTTATTTGACTTGAGGCTATTTTGTCCATTTTCGACGATCATTTGTAATAACAACAAAATATATGTATGTAGGTCCTCATCAACCAAGAATCAAGTAAAGATGATGACGCCAATAATAGTCATTGATCGACATAGAATAATCCTTTATAGACTATATTAAAACAACTATAGTGAATGGTTGATGATGATGATGATTCAACTATAAATGAGAACAAACATAAAATGACTTATCACGAACAGTTTTTTTAACTTGATGCGACAAGCACAACATAGTAAAATTCTCTCATATTTGATTTCCGTTGTTAGATGTCGGCATCTGCTTATTATTGTTTTGTGAGTTCATCAAACGAATCTATGCACGTGTCTTTCTCTTCTACGTGTTAATCAAATCCTCTATTTAAGCTCATCATTTGATATATAACGAAGGCAAAAAACAAAAAAGAAAAAGTTGAATTGAACTGCATGTTTAAATATTTTATGAGAATGACAAACGTCTGTTGTGTTCAGTTGACCTTGCATCAATCTATTGAATGATTAGTGTGTATTGTTTATCAACGTACAATATTGCTGTAGTCGTCTGTCAATCAGCCGTGATGCAAGAGCAATTTACTATATATTTGCCGCTCGCATACGCACCTTTATTTTTTATACGAAAGTCTAACACGTGCCATAATCATTGCTTTCTCCTTGTTCATTGAAGCAAATTTTTAATAGGGCATTATTTACACTTGAACGTTAAGGTATTTCCTCCATCTTCTTTTCTTTATGTGAAACAACAAAAGAGAATACCTATTATTTCTTTTCTACAGATCAAAGGTATTTTTTGTCAAGAAGAAAATCATCGTCATCATCATTATATAGGACAAATAGCTAGCCTAATTAGCTTTGCCATCTACTCACGTGCTCAAAAATAAATCACCTGCATCATTGCGTGTGAACGAAACTAATATTTGATGGGCAGGGCAGCTCTCATATTGACATGATATCAATAATAATGATCGATAGCAATGTTGATTATGCAATTGAAAAAGAAACGAAAGACGATTAACTCATATGTACATATGTGTATGTATGTATACTTATTACAATTGGATGATAAATAAATATACATGTTCATAGATGGGAAAGAGAAAGTTAATTAAATCAGTGCCAACGATTTTAAAGAATAATTCAAAAATACGTCATAGTAAATTTAAATATGCTTTATTTTTATCTTTGCACTACTGCTAAGCTTAAATTTAAATAATAAAATTTATATAGTATGAGTTATTTCATTTGTAAAAATTTCTTGAATTCGATGTTTTTATATGACGTCAGTCAGGCCAAAAAAAAGAGAACTAGAAGATGTTATTGACATTCAACATGCGAATAGAAAAAGCTTCTTGACTAGCACCGGATATGTCTCTCATTATGTATGCAATTTGAAGACGTCACTCCTCCACCTACGTTGTCATTCTTGTTAATTTACATTTGCTTTCTACATCTTCATTTTAATATTGACAAAAAATTTTTCTTTTTCCTACAAGTCTCTTCTCATTTCACCAATCTGTTATTTTTTATATTGAATTGTTACGTTCAATTTTACACACCTGATAGCATAAAATATAGTGCTTTGTGCGTCACATCGATCTCTAATGGACTGAACAGCATAAATGTAACTCGCTGTATGCCGGAAGTCAATTTTCTCTGCGTACACATGCACACAGACTTTTGTCTATGTTTTCAAACACACAGATGCCAGAGGATAGATAGTAGTTAGAGAAAGGCAAAAAAAAAATCTAAAAAGCAGTGCAGCCAGTCACTCTACAGGAAATAACTACTGATGCTTGAACTTTATGTAGTAAAGAAGAGACAACATGAGCATAGAATAAAAAATAGCAAACGAAGAAAAAGAGAGACGGCTACTTCCGTTGTCGTTCAAAGAAATGAACAAAAGACGATAGTCTGTACGAGATCAAATTTAATTTTGAATTAATGAAGAACTTTTAGAATATATTTAGGCAAAAAAAAATATTCTCACGTAGAACCTTGTTATTTGTCATCTTTAAGCAAATATTACATCCACCCAATCATTCCTTTTTTTTCCTCTTTTTCTTACATTAGTTTGATGTTCAACGAGAAAAAGAATGAGCACACGAACACGTAGATAGGCTCATCTTATAAGAAGAAAAGTCACTGTGATTGGTGGAAAATTTTCATTGGACGCGCGGGCACACAGAAAGGCACAAATGCATACATTGATGAAATGATTTTTTTT